CGCGCCTCCGCCCAACGGTCCCGGCCGCACCCCTCCCCTCCCGTTATTGGTCTGTTTCCAGCAGCCGGCCCGCCTCCCTGAGGCTGAGCGCGCTGGGCAGCTTGGGAATTGTCGTTTCCGCGCCGCGCCGCGGGTGCCCTTCCCTGGCGCGCCAGCCGCGGGGCGATCCGCCTCTGGATTTTAGCAGCGCGCCGGCGGGGGATTCTGGGAGATGGTCGAATACATCTGGCGGGTGCCGGGGGGATCAAACAGTTAGGGCTCGTGTTTGGATAGCGTGAGTCTTTCAGACAGTGGATTGAAAATAAGGGTCTTCTGTCTGCATCTCCAGAAAACGGGCAGGGCGTGTTTCGCGTGTTCAGATCTTCGCGTCGAGCTCCCCGTGGCTGCGTGGGCTCGCCCGGGCTTTGCTTTTGGCAGCAGCGAAGAAGTGGATCGCCGCTGCCTTCCCGGAAAGATTTATTTTAATGCCCCAGTCTAGCCTGGGGTTTTCTGGTGGTCTCCCATCCAAACGCAGCCGAGGTTGGCGAAGCGCTGCCGCCAACGTAGCAGCCTCCATGTCTCGGTTGCTCCTTGACGAAGACGCCTCTCTGCGACCCCTGGAAAACGGCTGATTGCGAGCGCACCCTTTTTTCGGGACCCCCGTCGTAAAGGTGGGGTTGCTGCGGTTGGCCAGTGGTGCAGCAAAGTGGGCAGCAGATAAGGAGAGATCCAGCTGCAAACAGCCCCAAGGGATTGTCTTGCCTCTGGTGACCCTGGACCTTCGCTGCCCAGCAATATTTATTTTGTGTCTGGAGGAGAGAATGGTGTGTGTGTGTGGGGGGGTTCTTTTGGTAGCACGTCCCTCTCTGGAAAGGAAAGGAAGGAGGAAGGAAAGCCAGCATCAGCCTTAATGGAAGGCAGATGCCCAGCTAAATAATAGCACTTAGGACTTGGATGGGAGACCACCAGGAGATGGGAGGTCGAAAAACATCCTGGGCCAAGGGAACGATTTCCATCCTAAAGACTACCTGGATCTGTCCATGAAGTCTCCAGGACCTGAACTCAGCTCAAGGGAGAGTTGCCCTTAACGGGAAGCCCGCAGCTCTGACTGTGTCCTTTCCCTCCGCGTCCCAGAATGAGTAGAGGGGATTCCTTCTGCCCAAGCCCGCCTTGCTGGGTCCGCTCAGCACAGTGAACCTGGTGACTGAATTAACCCACGTCCTGAGTTTGCCCAATAAGCTGGACAAGAAACTAACCCGAGGCCTGGGGCTCGTCAGCACTCTTAAGCCAGAAAATGTTTAGCCAAGGTTAAAATAAATCATGTCTATTTAGCATGTTGTATGTATGTATGTATGTATGTAACGCCTGCTGCTTCCCTGTTGGCAGCCTAGGAGGACAGCTGTGTTACCTGTGGTGGCAAAAAAGCTTATTCCTTTTAAATCAGATTTTATGCAGGAAAACATGCTACCAGACTCCTGACTTTTTGCCTGTTGGCAGTGAATCTCAAGGCTCTCTAAATCCGAAAAGTGTTGATTCACTGGCCCTGTCCCCATCACCAGCCTGCTGCCCCCTGCCCCCTATTGCCGAAATGTCCCCTTTTCCTGAGGGCCTCGGCCCCCACGCCCTTGTGTGTCCCCCTCCCTTTGTGCCAGTGGTATCGCCGAACAAAAGGGGCTTGGTGGGAGCCCACCCTGGAACAATCTGATACAGAGGGGAGGGATTATTGGCACCCACCCAAGGGCACCTCCCCAGAGTTTGTGTTCTGAAGGGAAGGTGTCACCCGGATCAGCCTGGAAAATGTCATGTTATTGCTTCTTGGGGGTGCAGGGTACCAAAAGGTGTTCTCTACAGCAGGGTTCCTCAACCTTGGCCACTTTAAGACGGGTGGACTTCAATTCCCAGAATTCCCCAGCCAGCAAGGCTGGCTGGGGAA